GAGTAACCCCGAGGGTCCTTGCCTTTCCTTCCAGACCGTTTGATGCCAAGAACCCCTTCCTGGCCCAGGTTACGGAGAACCGCAAGCTGAACGAGGGCGGAGAGCGACACCTCATGCACTTGGAGCTGGATATCTCCAATTCTAAAATCAGGTAGTTTCCTCGTGGGAGGCTCTTCTTGTATTTTGGCAGGAGCAGCCTGCATCCGGAGCAAAGAACAAGGACGTGGTGCTGGCCTCATCGAGCACTTCAGAAGGGGACCTTGTTCTCATGATTATTTAGCACTGAGATCTCAGTATTGTCCTACTGCCCCTTGAGCCAGCCTGCTTGTCTTGTAGCTGGGCAGCTTGGGCTTGGGGTGGAGGAGAAGCAGTGCTGTTGTTTCATCTGCTCTCCTCCCACTCTCGTGCCAGGTACGAGTCTGGGGACCACGTGGCGGTGTACCCAGCCAACGACTCTTCTCTGGTGAACCAGATTGGTGAGATCCTGGGCACGGATCTGGACACGATCATGTCCCTAAACAATTTGGATGGTGAGTAGGAGTCACCCCTGAGTGTCAGCAGTTCTCCTTCAACTGTGGCCTCTGTCCTTCCCACCAGAGCAGGAGCCAGGGCACCTTCAGGTCCTGCAGGGCACCTTCAGGCAGAGATGTCCTGTGAGTGCTCCAAAGGCCATTTGGTTTTAACAGTGGTACAGATCCTGCTTGCTGAAAGCCAGCTGAAGTGGATCAGTTGTGAAAAGTACTTAGTGTGCCCATTCAACAACAAATTATGTAACAGCACACTCCTAATTACAGAGCATCAGCCTGCCAGAGCATCCCTCTGCCGCAGCAGCCCTGGAGCTCAATGGGGGCCTTCGTGTCTGAGCTGCTGTTGTTCAGTCCTTGGAGAGGCACAGGCTCGGGCGCTGAGCTTCCAGAAGGGAGCACTCGTGCTGATACAAAGAGCTCTTCTTGGGCAGCGTTCCCAGCAGAGCTGGCCCCTGGCAGGAGGGAGATGGCAGCTGCTGCCCGTCTTAGTCTTGAATACGCGCAGCCTGACCTGAGGCATCGGATGTGCTGGCCCAGAAAGCCAAGGCAGCTCCTGCTTTCAAGAGAGCAAGTGGCTTTAATGTGGTCCCTGTGCACTGTCCCGTGCTGTCCAGCCTCACGCTGTCGCTCCTGTCCCTTATGAACCTCTTCATCTGCTG